ATATAGCCCATTAGGTTCTTCAGTATCAATTATAATTGTATTTATTATGACAGTAATTTTAATAATAATATTAGTAATATTAATAAGTTAAGTGGTTTATAAAGCTACTCCTATGGTCGTTAGAAGTAAAGATCACGAACTTATATTTTTCGGTGAATTCAGGTATTGTTATCCTATTAGGCAGTTGCTTGGTAGGCAATTTCCTTGTTTTAGGCAGAGTTGCGTAGTGCGATTTCATCGTATGCTCGGATGACTGGATCGCTGGCCGTACGCTATTTAATATTCGATTCATTGTCCTGTAGGGAAACATACGCCTTATACATAGATTTACGCTCTCGCGTCACGCTGATTTTCTAGAGTTCCTTCTTGTTTGGCGAGCTCGGTTGTGTTTCTATAATTCGGTTACGTTTTTTTCTGCAGATTTCCTAATACGAAGGTTACAAAGCAAATTAGAGCGACGCTAACTAACTCGATCATTGTTCAAGCAACTCTAACGAACAAGCGATTTTCGGAAATTTTAAACCGTGTCTGTTTCGACACATTTGGGCCTTTTTCGATAGTTTCGTAAGTTGAAGTTCTGTATTGCTTTAGCTCAAGTTACTTTTGATTGGTGCTGAAAGCATGTCTTAGTGTTTTTTTTGTCCTCTAGTGTCATAAAATCGTCGTGAATGTTCACGCAATGAGTTTCACGGTTGCCTTTATACCTAGGTGCAAAGTCGTAATGCTGCTATGAGTGTAATTTTATGCATAGTGATCGCGTGATAACGTATCGACGTTTCGGACTTTGTCGTTTTTTATGAAGTTCGTATTACGTAGCCGAGCAGCCATCAAACAGTTTCATAGTAGCCGAGCGGCGTTGGCCTCATGACTCTTGAAGGCCGACGATTGGTCAACAGAGTACATCTCGCGTTCGGTGTTCTCCTTCCTCGTTTCCGTTGACTGAACTCGGCGTCTTGTCGGCATCTCTTGGCGGCGTTTTTAGCTTTTTTAGAACCGCTTTGCTTCGTCCATTGGATACATGAAAAATGGCACAATATTCGTGTCCGCTTTCGTTTTGTCAACATAAAACGTAGCTTGAGTATAGACTACAACGAAGATCCTACTGGTACCACGGGTTCTTGCGAACCCAACGCAGCTTCATTCCGGCGTCCGTTCGGATCTTTATTGACGCAGCTTCACAAGCACGAACCGTTTCTTTAACCGACTGCATAAGGTTTTGCGCGTTGCCCACCAGCATCTCCGTTGCCTCACGGTCCTCATCGGAGCCTGAGAATAAGGTAGACGAAACTTCGAATAAATACGGCGACAATAATAACCGATGTATAACCATACAGCTGCAGGCCAAACGCTAGCCAAAAAAATTAGTTAGCAAAAGAATATTTCCGAAAAAAGCAAACAAAGACTTGTTGTAGTACGGCTAAGCAAACAAAAAATATATACTAGGAGAAATGACGTCGTCTCCAGCCCAGCCCCGCAGATTGAAGATAATTTATTAGATAATAAATCAATTGTTTGAAATGAATAGCCCGAGAAAAATGGGAGCGGAACGGATTTTATCGCATACACAATCACCTACAAAATATCCAATTAGCTATCCAGAAGCCAGCATCACAAATCATCATGATGACAAGGCTATCATCGATTAGGCACATCTTTTTCATTCAAGCAAGTTAGACCAAGTAAAACAAAACACAATTTGGTAAAGTAATGCCTTTCAGCATCAACGGATCACTGTTAGTCTGAATCCACAGCATACACAATAGTTACCGCAGATGATCTCGCTGCCATCGGGCGTCGGGATGGGAGCTAAAATTGGTTTAACCCTTCAGTATACTACTCACACAGAGTTATCGAAAAAAAAAATTTAACTTACAATAGATTTTATATGCCACAATAACACTTCTATATCGATTAGCTTAACAGCTATAGAAAATGAATACTATCTTCTGAATATCTGAAGAGGATTGCTTTAACTTACCCTGTGCACCGAGCATCGTGGCTTTGACCGTCGAGAGAATCTTGAGTTGGCCACCAATGGTAGGGATTCTTTCGCAGACTTGCAGGATAGCCGTACGCATGCGGCGATCTGTGCAGAGACGGGCATGTTCCTTGGCCAGACGCGTCACCTCTTCCGAAGCTTCCGCGATAGCTTTCGCGCATACGATAAGCTCCTTTTTCGAGCCACCCTCACCGCGGACAAGCTACGTTTACCAAATATTAAATAACAAATGCATTATTACCTTTATTAGCGTTCGGATTCCGAATCTATAATAATAATTGTGATTATTATTAATACTGTAAATTTGTCAGATAGTAGCAGCGAACGCGTCAACTAACCTGCGACAGACGGGCCATAAGCAGTGCCATTCTTTTGGCGGCAGCAATGATTTCGTTATCTTTAGAAGACCACTGCCGGACCTCCTGGTGCAACCCGTGTGCCGCGGCCAGGATCGGCTGATTGGGCTGAGGCGTTGGGAAGGAATCGTCATCTTCGTACTCGGGCGGAGGTGGGCGTGGAGGCACGCGGTCGCCTGCGGGCATCGGAGGCCGCGGCGGAGCGTAGTCTGCTTACCAAAAAGTAAGTGTCAAAATATCAACGAGCGGTGAAACAGCAGGTAAATTTCTTCATTAGAAACATCATTTCTAAACATAAAAACAAATCGACTTTATTAAAAGTACACACGGTAAACAAGTAGGCGTCACATTGTAGCAGCCATATTACTAATATGGTCTTTGACAAAGCTAGATATGATTAGCTATACGCGCCAATGTCATTTATGGTAAATCAGAACTAATATAATTGTGGAATAAATTATGTTCTCTAGTCTAACAATCATTTATAATAGGACATGTTTACTTAGAAGCATAAAAATTATGATCAGAACCTATAGAGTGAAGCACTCAAATTCAAACAAGCTTAATAGGACGTCCATTGCGGCTGACATGCATCTATTCGCTATTACTGGTATTAGAAGGAAACTTCTTCTTTTCCAGAGCAAATCCAACGCAAAAACGACTCATCTTCCCTTTGAAACCTGTCCACATATCTGCTATTATCCAACCTTGACACACAGTAAAAGAACTTCCACTACGACTGAAAATATATTTTTACTTAAATTTACGGTCTACGTTATTGCCACGCTTCACTCCGACGAAGATCTCCAGAAAACGAACCCGAACGTCTTAAATAGGGTTGAGGTTTAAAAAGCTTGAGGATTTATCAAAATGGCCCGAAAAGCTACTGTTTAATAGACCTGCATATCTGATACAGAACACTAATGGCCGTTTGGAAGAGGAGAACATCAGCTGCCAATTTGAGTTGTCCAGGCAAGTTCGAAACGTTAGTTTATTGAGATCTTTACGTCTTATTGCACTTTTTAGATTTGTTAGTTGTATGAGGCCCTTGCATTTTAGAGATTTTTGGTCTGGAACCAACCCAAAACATAACTCGGCCAAATTCCTTATGTAGGGTTACTGAGACACGCACTTTTATGCTTGACGCACGCCTTCTATATAGAAGTCATTTTCCGATTAAAGAAGGGAATTAAGGAAGGATAAGGAAGGAGTGCTTTGGATCCTGAATCGAAGAAGTTATTGCTTTGAGTGAGTATTGTGCCGAGCCACTTCTAAGACATGCAAAAAAAAATAAATGTACATAAATCAAATACATCTGTTTTTGTCTAGATGATTTGCAAAGCAGCTCTAGATTTAGATGTCCCACTCTTTACGGTTTTACGGTTGTTTTTTGGAGCAACTTTTTCAAACATTACTTTTAGCCATATTAGATCTGCAAATCTCAAGCGCATGCGAACTAAACTGTAACGAAAAGGACGGTCCTGAAAAGAAAAAATGGCACGTACGGAACTCACTATTTTATTTGTTAAACACAACACTGCAATCTTGCACAGAGTCTCTCACATTCGCTGTCATTTGCACATGGGGCAGACTGATGGTATGAGCATCAGCCTGCGTCACCCTACAAAGTGTTGTGTACCTCTGTGGAGTCCGGCCTGAGTCAGTGGTGCCATTTCATTGCGCAGGATATTGTCCAGGTCTAATCATAGATAGCGGATAAGTATATCATTATGTGCTATTGAAGAAAACATGTCTAGTTAAACGTAAGACTATAGTTATTGTGGTGAGTACACGTTTTCGATTAAGGATGGTTAGATGCTGGTTTATCTGAATTTTTCGTCAAAAAAGATTTTAAATTTACACTATCAATTTTTTTGCGCATATACAAGCATTTTAATAAACTTTCGACTAGCCTAGAATGTTATTTCTGCTATCCATACACGCCCCGCAACTTTTTTGGTAGGTCTCGAATTTGATCCTACTAAGGTACTGATATTAAGGAGTTAGTTCGTCTCTTACCGTTAAGCGTCAGGTTATTCATTTGGTCATCAAATGGCGACACGGCGTTACGGACTCCTTGGACAGCTTTGAGCAACTATAAAAACAAAAACGATATAATGATAAAGAAAGTCTAATAATATAAGGTGTAATAAAGAAAGTCTTAAGGAACTGAGTTTTTACTGTACTGCATTAACTGGTATGTATGTATACTATTTCAGTAAAGAAATTGTGTGAAAGTGGTTTTAATTATTTAACAAATATTCCTTACTTACAGAGTTGTTGGCAGTTCTCCATCTAGCAGCTGTATCAGGATCGTGAATTCTCTGAGCAACTTGCTTAGCATTTTGAATCATCGGTGCGATAGCAGTTTCAAGCTGGCGTGAAGCTTGTTGCAATCTAGCGACGTAATGAGGATCTTCCGAATTATCGCACTCCTGCTTGCAGCGCATCAGTACGCGATTACCTAGGCGAGCTATAGCGGAAGCATTATCTACCATATCCTGAGGTTTCTGTCTCGAGACAGAATCCTCACACATGTCGGTATGTCTGCAATTCGAGTGGGGACAATACCCATAATCTAAATTATTATTATTATCATATATACAATAATCAACAAGCAGTACCACGACACGATAAGACACAATTTGGATCTTTACTAATATCCACAAAACCTACGAAGATCTTTTCAATGGGATCAAAAGCTCTTCATTTTTTCCTCACACCCAACGCAATGTTGCCTTACTTGTCATTGGAATTATCGTAAAAAAAAAGCCATACTTAAAAGTTCCAGTTAGTTTACAAAACTCAACGAAGAAATTGAGGTGATGAGCTACCTCTTGATAGCATCCTCAGTGGCCTTGACGAAAGCTCCAATGTCGGTAGTTTCATCGGCAAGGTTCCTCATTCGATTTACCTGGTCTTCGTATTGGCCACGCAGATTTTCGAAATGGTCGTCAGCTGCCTTATTGTCCGGATAAGTCATGCGAATCTTTCCTGCACTGATAAGTTGTGGAGTGAGCGACTCGACGTTATTCGCTGTATTCATAAGCGCCTCTGCCAATCGCTTGTTATTGGTAGCACCCATAGCAACATTACGAGCAGTTCCTGCTGTTCTGCGCGAGAAATCTCCAAGACGACGTGCCTTCTCTTGGAAATTTGTCTCGCGACCGGGCATGCTTTCCGGCGCGTGTACAGCTTCGACAAATTGCTTGAGCGGCGTATGAACGTCAATAAAGTCGTCCACAACGCGATCCACCAAGCCCTTTTGAATCTTGCCCTTGAGGTCCTGGAGCCTGCCAGCCAGCGCCCTGCCTAGTGATTGAGCCTCGGGAGTGTGGCCGAGCCCCTTGCGACAAAGGTCTTTCAGTTGGTTAGTCATACTCTCGATCTCGTTGCAGAGGGCATGAATCTGAGCTCGTTCAGCTGGCGGCATCGTTTCGGCGATCCGACGGCCCTCATCCAACAGCGCCCTGACGGCGCGTTCACCAGCACTACCATCCTCGAGCCCCGCATTAAAGCACCAGGCAAGTGCCTGTTCAATTTTGGCAGCAATGTTCTGAGCTCCACGAAGGCCGCCGCGCTCAACGTTCAGGATGGCTTGATTGATAAGCTGGTTCAGCTCGCGTAGCTTGATACCAATATTTCTCGAAAGACTAACTGTCTGAGGACTATTATCTTGACCGGATGAGCGCAGTTCACAGAGAGCGTTAAGCATTGATTCGATATCACCACATGCTTTGAGGATGACGTTACGATCAGCGGGCAACGCCCTCTCTGCGATGCGACGCGCATACTCCAAAATGTAACGAAGGGACTTTTCGCCCACGCCGCCTGGCATAGCGGTAGGATCGTCTAGCCAGTCGTGAGCGTACTGAATACGACCTTGGATAGCATTTTGTAGACGCTTCATTCCCGTCAAGTTGTCACTTTCCCATTCATCTTCATCGTAAGTGGTCAACTGCAATACTCGGATGATCTCATTAATTTCCTCTGACATACGGTGAGTTAGGTAGTTGCGATTTTCAGCTGCTTCCTCAACCCCCTTACCACCTTGAGCCTGAATCTGTACGTAGATTTTCATCGAGCATACAAGGACAGGAGCGAGCATTTTCACGGAATCAAGACACCTAAAACAATGATGACAATAATATATGAATGAACGGTCAATTTACTAAATTACGTTTTAAAGTAAAGTACACAGTAGGAAAAGCGATTGTGAGCCTTGGTAGCTATGGCAGATATGGCCTCCTTAGACTTTACGCAAAAAGTAAACGAAATTTTGTACCTAATCAGGATATCCCTGTGAACCTGGTGTGTGAGCTCCTCTTGACGTGCATCGACATCGCGCGACACTTTAGCGAGGCAGGGCGACATATCATTAACAAACTGTACAAGATCATCGATAGACTCGATCACCTCTGCCACAGCTAAGTAGTCGAGCACCTTCCGGCACTCGCGAACGATTCTACGCACTCCCGATTCGTCAAAGACCAGTAGTAATGACGATGTACCTTGCAGGATGCCTGTAAAATGAAATATCATAGAAAAACTATAAAACATATCATAGATTATTCAAAACGTGTTGTCTGCGGCGTACTGATTAAACTAAATATTTGGCTGGAGACACCGCTGCAATATTGGTATCGGACTCCGCAACCGACTTAAATGTCTTCATCATATCATATGCCAGTTAAAAAGTTGCGTCAGGAAGAGCAAAAATTCAACGAATGGTAATTTTTAATTGGGTATGCTTTTTTTTTTACCTCTTGAACCTTCAATAAGTTTTTTCCTCGCTGGCTGTGAATACGGATCTCGAAGCAGCATCTCGCATGCTTCTTCCAGTAGCTTTGAGGATCGTTCGACTCGTTGCAAAGACTGCGGCATATCCTGGCGAAGAATTGGGTCATCTGAAGCGGAGATGGTATCGCGGCCCACTTTAACGAGGTTGGTGACAGCGCGTGATACTGCCTGCACAGGCCGCGACAAGTCTGGCATAGCATTTCCATCTTCCGCTTCCTCGTGAAGAATCACTAAGCGTTCAACCTAGATGATATATAAAGGAGCAATGCAAGATCTTGTTCGGATAGATGGTCCAAATTACCCTGGAGCTAGCCTTTCCATCGTCAGAGAAAGTCCGTTTCAAAACAATGAGTTGCTTTATAGTAATAGTATTAATAAACACTGTTAATATTATTATTTATTTATGATATTACTATTATTGCTTAATGCGAAGAAGCATCCTACACTCAGCTAGTCGCCAAGCACCTTGTAATTTGTTGCTAAAAGTATTATCTTCTGATTTCATATTTGTGGCTATTTTTCCTCAGAAGAGACTTGATTTGCTATGAATAGGATTACGATTGTTACGTCTGGATCTTGCTAATCTTCACTTCATTGCCACTTCAACTTAACGCTTCAACTTATACTAATGACAACTGCTTGTCGCAGATGCTCTCCGCGTCGGCTTACTGTGATTAAATCGGTGTGTCTTATCCTCGTATGTTACTTCCACTAGAGCGCAAAATGCACAGAAACAGCGTTTACTAAAATAAATGGCTATCCACTAAACCTTCGCTGAATTTCGTTGAAACAGGGGGTTGCCCACATTTGTCGCTGGCAGTCAGTCGTTTGTGTAAATATAAACGCCAAATATTTTTTTTTTTCGTCTTCTACACTTTTTGGCAACATGGGACTCTGTGTGAGTGCTACAGGAGTATTTTACTTATAGAACAATTAATTAGGTTCTGTAGCACGCATGCGACGGAATCTGTCAACCTGACTATGATGGGATTGTACTAATCGATACCTGTAAAGATAAATAAAGTACAATATATGCTCCTTTGAATACTGACGGTGTGAAGTCCATCCTACGCATTGGTTACGCATGTGGCTTTCAGTTCGGTATACACAATACACAAGTCTATACATTCTGTCGTTACATCTAATTTGTAGGTAGCAACAATCTATGCATTAATCCCATATGATTGGCATAATCGTGCGGGGCACGCCGTGAAATTGTTTTAATTGTGGTTAATACGGACCGGGATAGATTCGGTAGAGCGGGTTTTACTGCAATTGGCCTGAAGTGTATCAGGTCGTCGAACCTAAAATCAGCAGTGTTCCTTTCAAAGCTCGCTTGCGCGAGGTACTACCCAGACGTGCCTCACGTCTTCACCAAGTGACGTGTCTGTCCCCAGGTTAATAATAAATCAAACCTGTTAGCACTGCGGCATCACCTAGATCGATTCTCTATCAACAGTCACAATACAGTGCGGCAAACGAGTGTACTTTAAACGTGCTCGCCGAACGTTTGGGTAGTCATACGTTGTTGTTGCTAGTACCTTGAAGCTTTGATTTTAAGCACCAATAGTTTGTGATAGATGATTACAATTTACGTGATCTACCAATGTGTGTAATTTTCGAGTACATCATTGCTTCTTTTTAGGTTTTCAACTAAGCAACTTCAATATCTAAAACAAAAAAAAAAAATAGATCGCCTACCGCTGTAGAACATTGCACAAACACAGAAATTTATATGGTGCAACAACGCATAGACGATACAGGTTACGAACAAATATAAAAATTGTATTGTGAACCCTGCAGTCCCTTCTATTATATTCACTATAGTATATCTTATATTGTATAGGCAACATACAGAATTGTCAGCATTCAACTAATGTTTTATAAATAGATGCCAAATGACGTCGAGCCTATTTTCTGCCCTTATAATTCATTTTTCTAAAAGGCTCCCACGAACCTCAAAAGCAGTTTCAACCTTAAACAAAAGGGGGTCCTTCGTCCTGCATCGGCGCAATAAGCCGCGACAACCTATGCAAGCTTGCACGGTCAGTCACTATGGGATACTTTACACAACTAACTGCTTGAAATCTTTTGATTAAGGTCAAACTGTGGCTGAAGAGAAAACAGAGCACTTGTATGGGACGATCATAGCCAAGCCACTAGCACAAAAGAACCGTCACGAAGCATTCGGGATGTGAGCGGACGGCGCAACGACACCTGTCGTCTCTTCGTTCCACAACAGCAGTAGCAACAACCAGCGCTCAAGAACTGTGAGTAGAACAACGAACAGACGTTCACGTTACCATGCCAACGTTACGAGCCCTCTCCCTGTCAGCCGTTTGGGTCTGCGGTCCTTTCTGCCGCCGCAGCGCCACGATCACCACCAATCTTCTATTTTTGTTCGCATCTAAGGAGCGTAGCAAGATGGCGCCTGCCATCGCTCAACGTTAGCGTTAGTAACATGAGTTAACGTTTTGGTCAGCACTAGGATTTTTTATTAGGCGTTCGTGCAGTTAAGCTTGTCGTTCTCCTGATTTGTGTAGCCGCCCCCAGTCAATTACTAATAACTTAAACTTGCCACCGTATCACTGTGAAAACAGAGGAACGCATCATGTTACAATACAGCAGTTGTGATAGTGCCGGCTATGGTGATTGACTACCTTCTCATGCTGTCGTTAAAATCAGCTGCTAACGCAATCAACGTGGGTTATAAATGAACGTCAATTCACTTTCCGAAAATCACCAGCTAACCCACTGGACCAGCGATTGGCTGACTATGGTGGCACTACGCAGGGCTGCTAAATGCCAGTAGTTATTGTTGTTGTTGCTGGCCTTTTAAGAGCTTTTGATTATTTTGCTGCATTACACAGACGTCTAGCATACGGGGTAAAAGCATTTTACCCATCGGTTCACTCATCGATTGATCCATCCATCCATCCATCCATTAAAGGACACAAACGGCCCAGCTACCGAATATGCATTCGACGTTAATGCAAGCGAAAGCCAAAAAGGACGTGGATTCCTCGATTCATGTTGCCATCGAGGATTTGCATTTCCACATGCGTAAATGCAAGGAGGAGGGCGAGAATCTGAAAAAACAGAAGGATCAGCTGCTTCTGATGCTCGAAAACAAGAATCTCACTACCCGGCAATTGCAACACAGTATCCAACAACTTGAACGGATGAACTCCGAGCTGCAGGAGAAGGTTCGAACACTTGGAGAAGAAAACGATCGATTACGAAAGGAGAACAGGCAACAACGGACTCCTTTGAGACAAGGAAGTCAGGTAGTTCGAAAACCATTTAAGCATCAGGTCGACACGCTTGGCTCCGAAAGTTGGGAAGACCTAAGCATGAAGCTGCTCGAACAGATGGAGCGTGATATCAACGATCTGCATGATCTCGGCGAGAAGGTACGCGATAATGAACCATTGTTGGCGACCTCGGAAGATCTATCGCCCACTTCGCCGTTAGTCCCAAAGTCAGCAAGTGTGTACGATGACCATGAAGCGCTGCAGATGGTTGCGGAAATGAAGAGCCAACTTAGTACGATCAAGGAGCGGCTTCTACTTCAAAAAACCTTACTTCAAAACGCTAGAAAAGATAAAGACGCTCCAAAATTGCAGCAGCGGCCAGCATCGGATGATTCGTTTCGAGTATTCTTCACCCAGCAGCTCAGCAGTAACACAAAAAAGAATGAAGTTGGAAAACAGTGTCCAATGTGTGAAGAGGTCCTTCCCCAAGGGACAACACAATCCGAATACGAACAGCACGTGATGTCGCACCTAGGCGCGGCATCACATCATCGTTTCTAGTTAATCGTCCGACACAACGTTACGTAAGGATACCTAAACAGTACAAAGTAGACATACGTTGACGGAATACCGTGATAAACTTTTCGTAGGTTACTTATTTAAAACAATGTATGTGAAAAACTTTGCCAGTCGCACAACTAACCAAGATGAAGCTGTATTTCTCGACAAATGACAACAAAAAAAAAAAGCCTACAAGAGTAGCTAATAGTAAATTTAACTACCAAAATAGTGATAACAATAACTATTACTACGGTATCGTGTGGTGAGTAGCTTTCTCTAAAATACGCCGAAACACTTTATAAGTGAGTTGAAGATCGCAAGTTGATCGCAACTGGACAATTTGTTTTTCAGTTCAGCTTGTGCGATCTTACTGCCAACGTCGCTGGATGACTAGGCAGAGTTGTAATATATAGCTACGGCGTAAAAGATCAATAATGGTGGGTTAAAGATGATGCAGAGGGCCTTCTTGCTCGCTATTTGAATTGACTCCACACACCAAAATTCGTGTGAAAGACATATTCAAATTAGTTGATGACACTCACACGAGTGCCGATAAGTAGGAGATAGAAATAAAATAACAGTATTCCCACATGGACACCTACATTACTGCACAGAGCGGCGTGCAGGGCCTTCTTCAACGGTAACGTAACTTAAAAGCTCTCGAATAAGTACTTCTTATGAAGCGACGTTGTATTTCTATGAATATACGGTAAACACATGTGCCTATTAATCCTTCTATCGTGAAAATAAAAGCAAGCCAATGTCCATTCACACATCGTAACCACTGGTTAACTATCATGCAAATGTGAGAAAAGTTAGTTGTCAACGTACCCGTTTGTAGGTGGAACTGTGAAAAATCTCATGCCAACTGTATTTAACGAGAACATGTGAGGTCTCTTTTCAAATCAATGCCTTCTTTTACGGAATTGTAGAAGAAAAGTTTGATTAATATTCCTTTAACAGAATGCGTTACAAATGCAAAATAACATAAGAAAACCGTTGTGTGAATCAAAGCTCGATTTTATTTGGGAAAAGAAACAATAAAATTGTGTTTTTTCATAGTATGTGTGTTATTATTAAAATCATTCAGTGTCGCAGAAAGGACAAGGAGCCCATGTGTGGCTTGGGTCGCAAGTATCCAGGCTAGATTAACTTCGCAGATGTTTTGAATTAATATTTCAATTTCAAATCACTTCGTTTGCGTTTGAAAGCGACAATAATTGTTTTTGTTTTCTCATCACTATAACGTGTATCAACTTTATACAAGGAAAATCTGGAACGTTGCTTAATCAGACCTAATTGGGAAGTTATAACCTTGAGAAGTTTAAGACCTCTCTCGCAGTCTCATGCAATTACTAAACTAGGTATACAGCGTCGCACAAAACAGAGTTTCACTGATTCTCTGTAGACAGTAAACGGTACTGCAGCTCGTAAGGCTACATGCAAAATCGGCGATTCTAATATAGGTTCTTCTTTGTCCAGTCAGTCATACAACTAACTAGCACATCAACCATGGCGAAAATTGCCACTATTTTCATCAGCATTTCATCAGAACAACAGACTCGAAATTGTCTACACATTTGCGTCCTTTTATATATATATATATATATATATATATGTGTGTTTGTGAGCGTATGCGTGTCTGTGTATATTTGAAGACATCTACTCCTTCAGACCGTCCAGTCGAGAGCACTTAGGAAAACATAACCCGTATACACCATATTGGGATATTTTAAGTCGTAAATGGTAAGATCGTTTAATTGCGAGGGCGCAGCTGGCAAGCCAAACTCATCATCGAGAGTGGTCTGAGCTTTTTTGTTGGCAGTTTTGTTGATAAGCTGATGCCAGTCCAGGAACCTATCTGAACTGGTCTAAGACCTTCATGTGTTTTGCTCAACGCTATAGGAAGGAAAGTGTAATTTGTTTATGTTAAAGAGGGGCTACTTTTTTCGCCACTAAATCACCCGCAGATAGGAGTATTTAAACGTTCACGCCATCCGAGGCGTTCAGTGGCTATTCAAGAAGAGTACCCGTTCTCCATTGATTACCTCGGCGTTTTCGGCACCCGTTTAGGCCGTGCGAACACATGCTAACCTAGTTAGATTCATCTAGATTAATCTAGAATTGTATAAATGCAGAAACGTATAAGTGGCTGAATCAATTTTTTCTCTCTCCAGGAGACTTCCATTTCTCGGATGTCGTCACCACAACCTTGCTCAGACAGAATGGATATTAATAACTAGTCTGGCAAATCATGAAGTTGATAAAAATTTTTGGCTTTGTTGTATCTCAAAAATGTGTGCTTTTCAAAAACGTCGTTACTAACATCATTCTAATGAATCACGTTTATCCAATCTGGCCTTGGCCTGTAATTTCCTTATAAACTGATTTATGCGATACCCATTATGACACCCGACATGCTATTGATCCACAATTGATACAACGTCGACGTAGATACCAGTATAAGCACAGCTTCCTATAGAGCAATGGAAATTTTTGGCGGGGTCAATCATTAAATGATGATCAAATCATTGATATGCTGTGACGAAATAACTAGAAAATATCCTGTTTGATAAAGGCCAGCACTAAGCAGCAGCTTGTTGTATAGAAGCCGTGACATCGTGATGTATTCTACGCCCATAGAAGACAGCAGACTGATGGCTCCCCAATTGCCGCCCTACTCTGTGTTTCGTAGACCATTATAGTTTCTTGATCCGTCTACATAGCACAACTGTATCGTACTTGCGTGGCCTATGGCCACTACATTAACACTAGTGAGCTTTCGAAGCGGCTACCGGCGTTATTTTTACCCCCCTGCAGGCCTTACCGAATCTCGATGTTTGGATATGTGTACCTGCTAGCCTCCGAAGAAGAACAGCGCACGTTTGTTTGCGTGTATCACATTTTTGATTAGCGTCGACTCCACGTTGCTGTCAATCATCACCACGATACGATCGGCACATTGAATACGTTGATCTGGCATAGTAAGTGTTGGTAATAAAGTCTAATGATGCCCATATGCATTCAACCACAGCCTTGGGTTGAAAGACGTTCAAGTCCTTAACCGGACCGTTCGAAACGACGAGAATATGGCAAAGGATGGTTTTGAGTAATTTCATCAAAGCAGCGTTTTCATGACCCAACTGTCAGCGTTGGAAGCGATAACATTACTAATTATAACATTCGCGATCGCAGTTGAAGAGCACTAGGCAAAACCCGGCGCCGACGGCATAAAAAACTAGCGCGAGATAATACTGAAATAATCATACATACCCCTTCCTTCGCGTCGGGTCGTATCTACGCCGACTGAATTGGATACCCAAGCAGCTGTCCCGACGGGCTATACTAGTCGCCAACAAAAACCTTGGCGAGGTCATAGACAGACTTAGTCGCTTAGTCGTTCGGTTGACTAGTGAAGCAACGGGAAATCGTCGCCATTGACTAATACTCGTAATCTCAGCAGACTAAAACTGCGGCAGAGCTAAACCGCAGTCAATGAACGAACGAAGCAGCGCAGCAAACGTTCAAATCATCGCCTACGACGCTCGCTTGAAAGAAAGACCACTTCAGAGTTCTTTTGTTTTACCACAAGGTGACAACCTTTCGGGGTCTGGTCGCCACAGACTTCCTACACCGCCACCGCTTCAAACGACAACAATACGCATCAGCGCGTCAAGATAGTAGATATATCATGTCACTCACGCAAACACGAATCTACTAACTGGCATTAACACCTATTGTTGAGCGTATCACAGTGTGCGGTAGCTTATGTGCGCATACTTACTTATAATCATAATGGTCCATAGTGAAAAGCCATTGCCACACATTTGACCACAAACTACGGGTCATTTTACCTTAATCGTGTCATCTATGGATTTTCTTCGCACACAAAACAGCAGCTTCGTTAAAACACCAATTCTCGATCTTCTTCTTACATGATTTTAACTAAGCTACGCTCGAGCCAGCAGTGTTCCAATATATTGCTTCCGTCACATGCATGATTGTGGCGTAAGCGCTTAACATTTAACGTTCTAGGTAAAACACGACAATAAGACTACTAATTAATATCACAATGAGCTTTCAAAAAGGCACATCATGCAGTAACCAATAATACAGAGATTAAAGATAATCTTCACATCACCGACGACACACACACACATACACAATAACATGATGTAATGTTAAACTCGCAATGAAAGATGCCAACGAAATTTGGACGACAGTAAATTCGGCGTAATGAATTGTAATCCCAACATTATTATCAGAGTGGAGGTTTTCCTTAGATAAAGCACTCAATCATCCGTTTTCAGAGAAAAGTCTGAAGGGGTGCTTCAGTGCACCATTCCTCGAAACTCACTTCGCATTTCTGGGGGTAATACATTGCTTTAAGACTAGTATCGATAGAGGATTTGATAAGTTGATGCAATAATGACTGTAGCAATGACTTGAAAGATCACGCCGTTTTGTTAGCCATGAACTAAGTGACATGGCTCATCTATTAATGGATGCTATGACAAATCGAACTACATTTGCGCTGACATCGGCCGATCCATTCATCCATACTATTCACACGGATAAAGTGTACTCGACTAGCGAGCGGTAGATGCAAACAAACAACCAGCGAAGACGAAAACAAGCGGGACAGAAAACCAGTGACGAAACTATATTCTGATACTGATAACATTGAATACCTTAGATGATGCGATTTGAAAATAACGGTTGGGCTACTGTTAGGTGGTCGTATTAGGTAGCGTGAACCTCTAATCTTCTATTGAATTTCTAGGTGCAAACTTTGCAAGGTGCAAATAACTTTGTTCAGTAACCCCCGCCCTTAGTTGCCCTCCGTTGCCTATTGCTACTAATCATCACTTTATCTTTGATTCGTTTTCCCTGCCACCCACGCAAAACGTTGCCTCTCGAAACAAACAGTTTCCAATGTCTTCTTTAGCCTATGTTCAGCTTGCTAATGTAGTTGTCCTTATCATCATGTTTATATAGCTGCTGCACTCCCACTCGTACGTGTTCGCCGTCGTTAGGATGACCTCGACAACGGAAAAACCCGACGGCTCTGATGCATCACTGTCAGACAACCTACTGAAGATGATACGGCTGCTGCTGCTACTTCAGTCGAACGGTGATATTGGCCTATTGCTGCCGCTACTGGGTTTTGCCGGCCTGATTCTGTTCTTTCTCCAAACAACGATTTTTGCTATAAAGGAACCCCTCTCAATAGGGCTTGTTTCCGTCATTAAATAATAGCTAGCGGAAACGATCTTCCTTAAAAAATAAGCCTGAAGCCAGTTAGCCACATCGATGGCCAAGCAGCCATGTAGACAGATAAGCTAGCTAGCTGCGCCCGTCTGTCTCGGTCGGTCGGTCGTAGGCCGTCACCCGTAGCAGTACGGCAGCCTACGAGTAAGGGCGACGTCGCCATTACCTATCTATATCGTGTACATACTTCAATAATAATACCCACAGTATATTTGTCCGATTTTAACTATACACGAGGTCGAGGAACGACAGGCGTTGCGTATTGCGATATTCATAAGTTTCGCATAATGTCAATAAAGACTGACAAGAAGGCCAACGTAATTTGTCCTCTAAATAGTTATTGTCAACAGTAAAAATCGATGGTGATGTAAATGATGGAGATGAAATATGCAAACAGCAAGCGACAGATATTTTACGGGGCATGTACCACTGGTCCGGACTAAAAAGAGAGTAACAGTGTTTCTACCCAGGTAATCATCACATATAGTGATGATGAAGAGTGGAGAAATTATTATGTAATGATCGATGCTATGATTGAAGACATAGTATGGTGCAATGAGGTGTTCTTCATAGTGGTACCGTGGGTTTTAGCGGTCTCTTTGACATATCTAAAATGGCTGACTGTTACCTACTATCATGAGGCATAGGTGCAATCGCGAGAAATGTACTAATTAATATATATATAATGTAGCTTAATAAAAGCTTCCCTAAAAACGAGCGACGACAACAATTGTTCAAGTTACCCTCTCTACAAAAGCGATACTTCACTTGTACTAAAATGTAATTCGGCAT